GGAAAGAATCTAAAAATCACATTTAATCCTTCTATGTTCTGTGGCATCTTACCAAATTTCTCACAAATCTTGCTGTTCAGTAAATATATGCTGAGTGCATTTTACCTTATATTTTACATGGATCCCTTTCCAACTCAGCTGAGCTGTCTGTGAGCAAATAAAGGCAAAAGTATCTGATAATTATAGCAGGGCACAAGTTAAATATTTGCATTGTCGTGGATAAAGGTTAAAAAAAAACCCTTTACACTGAGATAAATTGGAGAGAAATAAATATCAAAGTGAGTCTGGCTATTTATATTATCCTAATTCTTCATTAATTTACAGTTTTCAATTCAGAACTTTGGTGAAAATCCATGGAAAGACCGGATAGAGAATCAGATTGATGGAAGATTTAAGTAATGACCTGGAGAGAATAATTGTGAAGAATAAGACTAAACTGAGTAGACAAACAACAGTAACAGTAACAGAGAAAATAACAGCTAACGTTGAAGAACATTTATTCTAACCCATGGATTAGGATAACACTTTATTTATATTTCACCTTTAAGCCTCACAACAACCCTTTGAGGTAGAATTATTTGTGATAGTACTAGTATTTCCCTCATTTACATGTGAGAAAGTAAACATGTAGAACATAGTGGACTTGCTTTACTAACCTGACTACTTGCCAATAAGGATTAGAGGCTGAACTCAAACCTTGTCTGACTCCTGACTCTTAACCATAATTCTACATTGACAGCAATTTAGGATAATTATCTATCTATCTATCTATCTATCCACCCAGCCAGCCAGCCAGCCAGCCATGCATCCATTTAATACACATTAGGAGGTATTACATTCTAGACACTCTGCTGAGTACTAGGAATAAAAACTAAACTACAGTCTTGACCCTTAAGGAACTTATAGTCCACTGAAAAAGCCAGACAAGGATTTCCAGGGAAACTTGTACTAAAGAGTTAACTCTTGAAGAAAGCACTCTGCAAAAAAGAAACTCTATTAAAGTCAGAAGAAATCGTACATGCAAACACTGGAGGATAAACAAAGTATTGTGGGGTTGGGGTGTTGCTGAACTGGAAGGTGAACGTGTTTGAAACAGGTAGACAGAGTTCGATTATGAAGATCAGCTACTTTGCATTTCTGTTGAAGAAATCACACTAGAAATATTTGCTCTGATTTCAGCTCGTAGTATTCTACTGACTGAATCAGCAGTATTTTATTTCCCAACTGTAACAAAGGCAGAGTTAAAATGCTAAGAGCTGAAAAATGCTGAGTGAAAGTACTCTTTAATTCCTATAGATTTAAATGTTCTAATTCTCCTCCTAGAAAAAAATAGTAAAACAAAAGGAAGAATTAAATAAGTCTGGTACAAATACTGTGTTTTTAATAATTCATTAATTTCCTAGGAAGTTGCTGATACTAATGGAAAATTTACATACGGCTGCTGTAGCCAGAATTTCATTTGTATAAAATAAAAGGTTTAGTTACTTGGAAAAAAAACTCAACAGTTTTGTAATTTGCTTTTAGATCTAGAGGATGGTCAAAAACAAGCTATGGTTAGTGAACGGACTGAAGCCTTTACCACTGCTCGAAATTTATTAGCCTCTGGAGCTGACGCTATTGAGAGGATTATGTCTTCATACAAAGAGGTACCACATTTCTTGTTATCAATTTGATTAAAATAGGATATATGAAAATCAAGCAAAATGTGAATTACCACATATGCTTATTATTTTGGAAACATCTTTTCTCTACCAAAAATTGCTAAGAGTATAATCAAGATAAGAGGACAACACCCAAGTATATTGCTGCTAATCACCTTTAATTTTTACGCTCTCAACTGTTAACTTCTGCTTTTCTCTCTACAGTATGAAATCTTTGTTATTAAATTTTGCAAAAACGCCCTTTGGTGTGGAAGTAAATTCTTGCTCCAGTATTTATAAATTATGTGAACTTGATCAAGTTTCCTAACTGATGTCTGTTTCCTCATCTAAAGTATAGGGATAATGATAGTGTTGACTTTGTAGAGTTGTTGTGAGTTAATACATGTAGAATGTTTAAAATAATACATAGTAATAACTCAATAAATGTTAGCCAAAATAATACTACTTATATCCCTTGCAAATTTTCACTCATCCTTTGTGACAAATCAAGTCTTATAAAACCCTTTGGTGATTCCACCTTCTTCCTGACTTTCCTACAGAAACTGGGTCTTCTTTCTCTGTGTTCATAGTATGTCTGGTACTTTACCATATTATAATTGTCTATATCCTCCATGAGACTTGAGTGGAAAGCAGGGACTATCTTACTGTTCTTTATATTCCTAATATCTATTGTAATGCTTTGAATAGTGTATGTGGTCAGTAAATATTTGCTGAAAGAATGGTAATAAGACATACAGGTATCATAGAGTTAAGATTAAAAATGACTTTATTCAGTTCAGATATTAAATAATATTACCATGGCTTTGTATCAATATAAATTGCCAGAGCATCATTTTAAATTTAGCTGCTTGTTAAATTAGATTTGAATAAATTATTACGAAATAGTTACCAAGTTTGTGATTTGCTGACAGAACTTTTCAATCTCATTCAACAACTGATTGAATTGGGCTTAAAAAAAAAAAGTAAAACCAGTTGTTTAGGGCTACATTAAAACAACTCAATTAAAAACTTTTTTTTTTCAAATAGTAATTTTGATAATCTGGAGACACAGTTTGGGGGATAGGCTTTTTGATCTCATAAATTACTTATTATTAAAATTAAATGACAAATAAACATTTTATCCATCTTGCATTAAAATACTTTGCTATCTAAGCCACAGAGAGAATATCAATTCATTTCTCTAGATTGTCTCCAACACAAAAATGATTGCATTTTGTGTTATTTTGCCTGTGTCTGCATTGAATCATAGACATTTCACTTCTAAAGAATTTTATTACTGCTGTGAACTGTGCATAGAAGCATCATGCATTCTCCACTAGCTCCAGAGAGAGTGGGATTTCAAGAGCAGAGTACCAGGGCAGCCCCTGTCTCATATCCCAAAGAAATTTGTCCACGGTCACATTGTTAGTTTTTTTTCAGACCCTCTTTGCCCATTCCACTCTGCAACCTGGGCTATTAACTCAGTGTCTCCTGCCTTTCTTTAACTGACCTCTGCATTTAGTTTTGGATCATTTTTTGGTACAAATCTATTTACCCAGGTTTCTTTTGGATCCATAATTTGTTAATCCTTGGTTCTGTTTTCCTCTACCTGGGAACACAACAGATTCTTCTAGATAACATTTTAGAAATTGCCCTATATAATATCTGTAACATTAATATGTAGAAATGAAATACTAATCTAATTACAGACCTCTCACACAGTAGAGACATGTGGTAGAATGTTTTTAACAATAATACCTGCTCATTTACTGCTTAAGTTTTGCACATGTAGAAATCTTACACAAACGTCGGTGTTGCGTTATTCCACAGTTTATTGTTTAAGAGACATTTATTGGTGACATGTCTTGCTTATTGATACCGATTTCCTAGTAGACATTTCTGAAAGGAAATGGTTTTAGTGCTTTTCTTTCACTGAGAAAGATGGTCTTGATAGGTCATGTGTCACCTGCCACAGTACTCTGATAACAAGATGTTATTTTACTAGAAAAGCAGCAGGAGATTCAACCTAAATTGGACAACTGGTAGAGCAGGAGCAAGACACCACTCTACTGAGCCTTAAGAACCAAAGCAGAGATTAATCTCCATCTTACAATTTCACCTAGGAAAAAAAAGTCGTATTTAATGTTTTTCTTTGGGCATATAAATCATGTTTGGCTTGAAAAGAAGCTGAATTGTGTGGGATATGGACTGAAAAGAATTTAAAACTTTTCACGAGCTCTCTCCCAATATTGGTATCCTCCAGCAGGGGTACTTTCTCTGGCCAACCTTAGGGATTTTGACAATCAGTTTGACTCAGGAGCAGCATTTCATAATAAGAAAAAAATGTATTTTTCTTCTATTTAAAATCTATTTTAAATTGAAAAAGGATACCAAAATAAAAGATCATTATTTCATTGAATGAACTTAAGCTTTTCACAAACTTCTAATTTCTGGGAATGAAATTTGTCTTGTAAACAGGGGCCAAATCAGAAATTTAACTGAAAGGTCTTTAGCTCTCACTACTTTTTGAAATCTTTGCATTACATTTTGAACCCTGACTTGAACAAATCATTTTTATATGTTTTATAATTCCAGTCAAACTTAAACTGATGCCTTCCTGTTCTACTTTTTGGTACACTTTTTAGTGTTAACCTGGTTTTACTCATTAGACATACTATCTATTTTTCATGTATAATAAAATAGGATCATTAGCATTAAGTCAAGAAGCTTATATGATTGCATATTTGTTTAAATGTCTGTCTTGAATGTATTCTCTCCATCTCCCTGTGTTGGTTTTAGATCACTGAATTAGCAGGCTATACTGCTCGAGTGTATAATATGTTTTGGGTCTTTGATGAAGTAAAGAGAGGCATTTTTAAGAGAACCGGTGTCATGCAAGAGTCTGAAAACCATAGCAAGAGCGGAGCTAACATAGAATTGCCCCTCAGTGAGACACTGGAAATCAAAGGTATTAAACTCAAATGTTTTCATATTTTTCTTTTTTTTCATATTTTTCCTATATTTAAGTGTTTATCAGCAGAACCAAAGTTTTTTAGAAGATAGCTTTGGACAATTATAAGGAACCAACATTTAGTTATTTAAACAGTTATTCTTAAAATTAGTGCTGCATTTTGAAGAGTAGTGACTAACATTACCATAAAAACTATTATGCTACCTTTATTTAGGACAAAATTTCTAGAATTATTTTTAGAAACTGCACATATGGCAAAAATGCATGTTTGCTTTTAAAATCCAAATAACAGAATTAAAGCTAATGTCAATATTATTCTTCATTATTCTGTCATTTGGTTTGGTTATCATAGTTTTAAAAATTGTATTATTCCATGTCTTAATTTCCCTTTGCAACATTGTGGGTTTTTTCTGTAGGAAAGGTTAATTTAGAGAAATAAGTAGTTATAGAGTGTGGCTGGGTTATACCAGATAGAGTTTAGCTTTGCTCTCATTATGATGTTGACATACTATTGTCAATATTTCTGAAAAAGATTTTCCGAATAGATGTGTCAAAATGTGCAAATTTACATTAGACTTTGCTGTAGATACGGGTATCTATATTTACATTTGTGTCTTTGGTTTGTTACTGTGACTTATCTTTATAGTGAATTTATCTGTTATGCTGTATTTATACTTGAACTTACTTAATTAACAATAACACATGATAGCTTTCGAAACTTAAACTGTTCCTTAACTTATAGGAAAAGTTATTGATGTGGATCATGGAATTATTTGTGAAAATGTTCCCATAATTACACCAACGGGAGAAGTGGTGGCTTCCAGGCTAAACTTCAAAGTAAGATGATATTCAAGAATCTTCTGATTGTTGTCAACACACTAATACAAAACAACTCAGAATTCATGTACCTTATGTTAAATACTTGGAGGATCATATGGAAAGGAGGGGAAATCAAGAAAGGTATGCACAGTAGCTCAGTTACAGAAGCAGTTACTTCCTCAGAAAGCAGGGAGAAAGAGGAATTTGATTTCTACTGCTTTATTTCCAGGTTGAAAATCCAAATTACAGTACCCTGAGAGCCCATACAAGGTAACTTTTGGGAACCATAGGAGACTTCCCAGAAATTAATATCTGAAAATAAATTTTCATTTTTTCCTTATAAGAATTACTCAAAAATATAAGTCTGTGTCATTACACATTTACTAAAATATGAGAGTAGAGGTCATCAGCAAATTTACCTCCATTAATTCACCTTCTCTAAGTTTAATTTATATTTTCAATCACATCTTCTGTTAGGAAAAAATAATCAGAAGATTCATGAATTAGAATTTAGTTTTGAATTCAGTTGAGAATAATAGTTATTTGTTACTTAATATTCTGTCTTGATTACAAAAACTAAGATGTAAGAATAGCTAATAAATCTGAGGCTCTGATTTAAAGCATTGTAAAATTCAAACAAACATTTTGAAATTCAAGTACAAAATAATTTGCTGATAAGCATAGTGAAGTTATCTGTGCTTAGTTCAAACAATGACATAATTGGACTTGGTAACAGAACTACAAATATGACAATACATGTGCATTTAATGATTTTAATATGGACTTTAGGTTTAATTATTAAAGATGTGTTTACAAATGCATAAGGCTGCTGGAGAGGATGAGAGGTACTGAATGGGGGAAATTCTGTGTTAATAAATGTAAGAGAAATTGTGTTTTGACTACAGTTTGTTTGCGCTTTATTTTTCCATTTATAGACCTAAAGAGTACCAGTTAGGTGCTAAAGATCCAACTTAATCTTAAGTAGGTTCAAAGTAAAACCTTTGTAGAAGCCTACATGGGATAAACTATTTACTAATAATTTAGCAATTTATAATTTACAACTTTTTGTATAGTGGTTTTCCATCAGGTTAGGTTTCATAACATCAATTCTTACTGCTTCATTTATTAAATAGAAGAAGAGTCTTGAATTATGCCCCCTACTAACTACATTATTGTGAGTACATCACACTCTTTCTGTGAAAAAATTCAGAGCTCAGTTTATTTTTATAAAAAATGAACTTTAAAATATTTAATCTAGTGAAAGTATCATCAATTTTGATGTTATTCAAAGATATATATTAATATAGTGTACTCTTATGATAATTGTTTATTTCTGAGTCAGGAAGTTTTATTTAAAGTCTCAGATCCCTAAATATAATAGAAAGATCCCTAAGATATAATAGAAACTTTTGTTTTCTCTGTGTGGATTGACAGATAAACAGGTTTCTACAGGAAAATACTCAGTTTCTTATGTTGGCCTTTCAGAACTGAAAAACCATTTGGAGAAAAAAATTCAGTAAACACGGGAATTCTTTTGCCTCACACTCACTGTTTACTAAATATCAGGAAACTAATGCTAAAAAAAGAATATGAATGTAGAAAAATCTTCTTTTATGACTCAAAATGTGTTCAGTTTCTGAGGATTCCTAATAGAGAATGACCCTATTAAAATATTTTGTTTATATACCTTTTGCTGTGACACATGTCTTAAAAAAATGATTTGACAAGTATTTATGCCTCTACAAAATTAAACTTTCTTAATCCTCTCTCTACTGAAAGAGCATAGAAAATTACAAAATTAATTCTTTCTGGTCTTCCCAGAATTTTTTTGAACTTTGGTCTATCAAAATAGCATTTCGTTTGGCCATATAGAGGGAGAGAAAATATCTATGGTCAGATTTTATAGACTCAAGTCTTCCTCCTGTCTTATGTCCCTGTGGTAGCTGTCTTCCTTGCCTGGAATGCTCTTCCCTCAGATCTCACGGGTTCCTTTTTTGTCACCCAGGCTTGACTGAAATGTTACCTCCTCAAAGAGGACTCTCTTGATCACCAGATCAAAAGAAGCCCCACCTCCAACCTCACAACGCCACCACCTTTCCCTAAGACAATCCTTCTTTTTGATATCATGCTAGCATTTATCACTAGTGAGTTTTCTGTTCATGTGTTTATTAACATCTTTCTCTTTGGAAAGCTCCATGAGAACAGGGACTTTGTTTTGGGCAGCACTGTATGCCCTGTGCCTAGAAGAATGTCAGGAACATACAGATATTCAATCAATGTTTGCTGAGGAAATGTCTAATTATTTAGACAAAATATGAATCTGAACCATTTTATGTTTATTCCATACATTCTTAGTTCCTTTATCTAATCTTCATATCAACTCTTTTTTCCTTCCCTTCTTCCTCCTTTCCTCTCCCCACCACCTTCTTTCAACAAAAAGATTTTAGCTTATATGCAGCAAATAAGTAATGAATATAAATGGGACAAGTTCCTTATACTGACATTTTACAAGTAATAGAATGCTCTTTCATCTTTGAGTTTTCAACACAATGTATTCTACCTCACTGACACTCGGATATTTGTATCTGGACTACACAAAGCTACTTCTACAGACATACTGTAGATTTCTGTCTGTCAGACTTTCATACTATATTCATTTTAAAATCGCTGATTATAAAATATCATTTGTTCTTAGAAGTAGACCAAATTCTTTAATGGTATTCCTTTTCGTTGATTTTCACAATGCTTTTAAATACCATACACTGACAACTTCCTAATCCTATTGGGTGGAATGAGAACTCATAAAATTTAACTGTTTGAATTTAAATGATAAATAAGATGGAGGATTCTAAAGAGAAGCATCCAATCAACAATGAATAGATAACTTTTTTATTGTCATATGTGTATATATGTAAATATATACATATATATACATATTTGTTTTAATTCATTCCTAGCCACAAGACTAAATTATAGTCCTCTTGCTTGTCTCTGTCTTGTGGTAAACATATTTTCTCCATCTGTGAATAAAGCAGAATAAGTATTGTTTTATCTTTCTGATTATGGGCTTTTGTGATTTCTGTAACATTTCAGACTACTGAATGAAACAACCCAACTGGCTCTTAGAATAACTGCTTTGTAGATAGTAACTTCAACCTACAAATACTACAAAGCTGTATTTTAATTCAAATAAATGTAATCAAAAATTAATATAAATAAAGTAAATTTAATCTATTTTCATTTGAATTTAAGGTTTTGCAGTTTCCTATCTCCATGTGATAGGAAACTCCATGTACTTATGTTCCTACATATGTGTGTAGTATCTGATAAGACCTCAATTAAAATTTTGGAAAGTCAGTGCTCATTCCAAGAAGATCCATTTTCTTTGGAAGGGGGTTATTTCATGATGCTTTTAGCTTCAGAGCATAGTCCAAAGCTAAATTTGATGTTCTCAGTCCTAATATATTTTTCTTTGATCCATTGCCCATCCTAGGTTATCATGTGTTTGAAAATTTTTTTTTAAAAATAATCACTTTTAAAGCTGCCAAATAAAATCATTTTTAAATATTGTAATTTGTAATTTTATTTTTTACTTTAGGTAGAAGAAGGAATGCATCTTTTGATAACTGGGCCCAATGGTTGTGGGAAAAGTTCTCTCTTCAGAATTTTAAGTGGCCTGTGGCCTGTGTATGAAGGAGTCCTATATAAACCACCTCCACAACATATGTTCTATATTCCACAAAGGTAGGTAAATTTTTTATATCACAAAAAACAATTTCCTTTTGCTTTTGAATTATCTTGATTCCTTAAGCTCTTCTGTAGCAATCTTTAAGAATGTTTTCATAGAGAAAAACTATTAAAGAAATAAAAATTCAGTTATCATAAAAGTTTTGTTACTGCTTTAATTAAGTAGTTTCCAATACAACACCAATTCTTGTCGTTTTCACATCTATCTAGTTGTAATGAACGCTCAAAGACTACAGATGTTAGTCTCAAGGAATAGCAGGCTCGTCCAAAGAATAATTACATTGCCTTAGATGTCAAATTATCTCGTCTCATTCACAAAAAATGGTACTTGGGTAGTATATTAATCTCTCCATCAAGCCACATACATTTATTTCTATGTTCTAAAATTGTTCACTTATGTTTTAGAAGCCTCTGTAAAATAGTCTTTATTACAGTTATTCTATATACTTAATTAATGATTTGAAACTACCTTAATTAAAAATAGTTTAAAAATGAGTGTAAAAGCAAGCCTAGAAATATTTAAAAGGAACATTGTTTCTTCTGAAGTTTTTAGTTATCTTCCCTTATGACAATTTACAAATGTCTAAACAGAAAATTACACTTGAAAAATTTGGAATATTTATTGTGGGTGAGAGTAAATGAATTTAAAGAAGAGACACACCTCATGTTCATTTGACCCAGTGATTTTTCCATCTGTCATCACCCTGAGTTAGGTCGACATCACAAAAGTCCTCCTACTGTGCTAGAGGACCGTTCTGTGGAAACTAATAGAGCACCTAGGCTGAGGTACCTAGAGCAAATACAAAAGTTCCATCAGATGTGGTGCTGTCAAATCCCTCTTGCTCCTTTTCCCTTGTCAGAAAGTGCTTGTGCTATCCTGCCCACTGGTCTGATTTGTAGATCATATGTTGTAGTTAGGCAGATGAGGCTTGTGCGGCTTTTTCTGTAAGACCTACAGTGGTGGTAGGAAGCTACCTGAAGTGTAGAAGGATGAAGATTATGGCTTAAGCCAGAAGTGATAAAAAGAGACAAAGAAGGTCATTATATAATGAAAATCGGATCAATTCATCAAGAAAATATAATAATTGTATACACATTCAACATCAGAGCACCTAAATATATTGAGCAAATACTAACAAATCTGAAGAGAGATAGATAATAATACATTAATAACTGGGGACTTCATTGCCTCACTTTTAACAATGGATAGATCATCCTAACAGAAAGCCAACAAGGCAATACTAGATTTGAACCATATTTAGATCAAATGAACTTAGTAGACATATGTAGACATTCCATCCAACAACAGCAGAATACACTTCTCAATCATGGATGAAACATTCTCTAGGAATATCATATGATAGGCACAAAAATAAGTCTTAGCAAAATTAAGAAGACTGAAATCATACCAAGTATTTTTCCCATTATAACACTATGAAACTGGAAATCAATAAAAGGAGGAAAGCTGAAAAATTTACAAATATATGGAAATTAAGCAACACACTGCAGAGCAACCAGTGGGTCAAAGAAAAAAATCAAAAAAGAAATTTAAAAAACACTGAAAGAAATGAAAATGGAAACACGGTTTCTATGAGATGTAGCAGTAGCAATTCTAAGAGGGGCATTTATAGCAATAAATGCCTATATTGAGAAAAAAAGAAGTCTCAAATGAACCTTACTTCACACCTCAAAGAACTAGAAAAAGAAGAACAAATGAAGCCGACAGTTAGCAGAGGAAGGAAATAACAAGAGAAGAACAGAAATAAATGAAATAGAGACCAGAAAAACAATAGAAAAATGAACAAAACTAAGAACTGGTTGTTTCTAAAGATAATATTGACAAACGTTTAGCTAGACTAAGGGACGGGGAGGAAAAAATAAAATCAGAAAGACAAGAGGAGGCATTACAACTGATACCGTGGAAATACATAGGATCATGAGACTACTATGAGCAATTATGTGCAAACAAACTAGAAATCTAGAAGAAATGGATAAATGCTTAGAAATATACAACTTACCCAGATTGATTCATGAAGAAGTAAAAAATAACATTAACAAGTAAGGCAATTGAATCATTAATCAAAAACCTCCCCCAAAGGAAAAGCCCAGGATCAGTTGGTTTTACTAGTGAATTCTAACAAACATTTAAAGAAGAATTAATAACAAACTTCTCAAACTTTTCAAAAGATTAAAGAGGATGTAACACTCCCAGACTCAATTTATGAGGCCAGCATTACCCTGATGCCAAAGCCAGTTAAGGGACACTACAGGATAAGACAACCACAGACCAATATGCCTGATGAAGATAGATGCAAAACTTCTGAACAAAATACTAGTAAACGAACTTAACAACTCACTAAAAAAAACCTACCATGGTCAAGCTGGATTTATTCTTGGAATACAATGATGTTTCAATATATGCAAATCAATAAGTATCAAACATCACGTGAATAAAATGAAAAATAAATATCATATGATCATATCAGTAGACGTGGAAAAAGCATTTGACAAAACTTAACATCCTTTCACAATAAAAACTCTTAGTAAACTGAGTATAGAAGGAACATACTTCAACATAACAAAGGCCACATATGACAGACTCAGAGTTATATCGCATTCAATAGTGAAAGGCTGAAAGCTTTCCCTCTAAGATCAGAAACAAGACAAGGGTGCCCACTTTGATCATTCTTACTCAAAATAGTACTGGAAGTCTGAGACAGACCAATCAGGCAATATAAAGAAATAAGAGGCATCCAATCCAGCAGGGAAGAAGTAAAATTGTCTTTGCATATGATACGATCTTACGTATAGAAGATCCTAAAGATGCTACCAAAAACATTTAGAACAAATCAATAAATTCAGTAAAGTTGTAGAATACCAAATCAAAATACAGAAATCAGTGTGTTTCTATACACTTCAGCGAACTATCTGAAAAAAAAATTCAATTTACAATAGCATCAAAAAACAATGAAGTACTTAAGAAATTGTAACCAAGGAAGTGAAAGATCAGTAAACTGCAAAGTACTAGACTTTGATGAAAGAAACTAAAGAATATGTAAACAAAAGGAAGGATATCTTATGTCCAGGGATTGAAATCAATGTTATTTAAAATGTCCATACTACATAAAGCCATCTATAGATTCAATGCAATTCCTATAAAAATTCCAATGCCATTTTTCACAGAAATAGAAAAAACAATCCTAAAATATGTGTGGAAGCACAAAAGACCCTGAAGAGCCAAAGCATTCATGAGAAAAAAGAACAAGGCTGGAGAAATCACATTTCCTGTTTTCAAACTTTTACCAACCTATCGTCATCAAAATAGTGTGGTACGAGAATAAAAAGAGACATAGACCAATGGAACAGAATGGAGGACCCAGAAATAAATGCCTGCATTTAGTCAATTAATATTTGCCAAGGGAGTCAAGACTATTCAAAGATAGTCTCTTCAATAAATGGTATTGGAAAAACTGGATAACCACATGCAGAACAATGAAATTGGACTTCTCCTAACTTACACCACTCACAAAAATGAACTAGAAATGAATTAAAGACCTAAATGTAAGGCCAAAACCATAAAACTCTTATAAGAAAACTTGGGGAAAACACCTTGACATTGGTCTGAATAAGTTCAGGGAATCTAACACACAGTATTGTGATTATAGTTCATAATGGAAATTGTTGAGAGTAGAATTCCAATGTTCTCACAAAAAAAACACAATAATTATGTCAGGATATAGAGGGGTCAGGTAATACTGCGATGATGATTATTTTGCTGCATATTCAAGTGTCTCGAATCAACATGTTTATAACTTAAACTTACACAATGCTATATGTCAATTTTATCTCAGTAAAGCTGGAAAAATATCACTGAACAGTATACTTAAAAACAGATAAGTAAATTTTATTTTACATGTATTTTACCACAATTATTTAAAGTGGGAAAAAATTGCTTAAATTCCAGTCTTTTCCCTCAGAGAGACATAACCATGTTACTTTGCAACAAACATAAATCACTGGGAAACTTTTTCTTAGTTATTAAATTTACTGTTGCCTAAGCAAAAGTCAACTTGCAACTTAGTTAAGGAGAAAAATGAAAATGAAAAGTCTATTTTTTAAGGCTAAAAATGTTTTTTAATAATTTATGTTAAAAGTCATTTTATCTTCATTGTATAGCTTCTAGGAACATGAAAATTTGTATTTGTTAAAAATCTCATAAGACCAATATCTTGCCCAAAAGTGTAGAATTTATTTAAATATATGTAAACTAAGAGAACCTAAATGTGCTGCTGCTGATGTTTTTCAAGAAAATTTGAAAATAATCTTATGAGTCTTTTTTTGATTTTAAAGAAATCTGCTACAATCAATTTCAAAATATTTGTCAGATAATCTAAAATTTTTCTTCTTAGGATATTCTCATTAATGAATATTGTCTGATATTTCATTGCATCAATGTATAGCAATAGAATATGGTTAAGTACTAGTTTGGAATAAAAAAACGTAAATTAAATATAGAATTGAGTCTTAGGTACCTGCAGAATAAACTTCATAAATCACAAACAGACCTTTATAGTAATACCTCTGTTTTCTTTTTCTGTGATTGAAATACTTCTTGGTAGAGGATAGATCTCTTTATGCAATGATCAAATGTAGGTTGTTATTTTCATGGGGAAAATAGAGTGTTTTGTTAAAGTGGATTTCTAATAATGTCGTGTAATGTACAGAAGGAAAAAGTGAACTTCTGAGGGAAAAAAAATGTTCTGATTAAGTATATTGGGACTACTTAACTTTTTTAACCAAATCTTCAGAGAATTTGAAAAGCTGCTATGGCTCAGTTTGCAAGTTGAGAAACCTGATTTCCTAAGAAATTATGAAATCACCTCAATGTTTTTCCAGTTAATGTCTTCTGGTACTTTAGCAATGTTAATAGTGAGAACCAGAGAAAAGGGAATCTAGGCCTTAGTTCAAGAATACAAATAAAAAGTTGTGAGGATAAA